TAATTTACTTTGAAACAATTTTTCAAAGACTCCCAAATTTGTGTTATATATTCAGGAAAATATTTTATTTCAGGCTGGAGACCAAAATGTAGGTTTATGTCAGATAAAACAGCATTTTCATTCCTAAAAATCATCTACAATATAAACTATTGCAATTCATGGGGTATAATAGATCACAAATTTTACAAATGGAAGAAAGATCTAAAAGACAAAATGAAGAAAAACACTAGCTGGAACAGTAGCTTAGTGTTCAAAAAGAAACATTAATACTATATAAGTAAGCATCTTTACGTTTTTATTATGAAAGTATAAATAATTTTGAACCATTAATGTTAAATTGCTAAACAGGACTGCACATGTGCATGTATATTGTTTTAAATCCATATTTTAATGTGCCGAAATTAAAAGATTAAGTTTACATTAATGTTCCCAGACAATCTGTTTGTCTTACATGCCCATAGAAAGTCTGAATGCCTGTCGGCAGACATGATTGATTTTAAACTACAAGGATTCAGTAGCCAAAGAAAGCAACAGAGTCACAGAGGTAAAGATATTGATCTGCAATGTGAGATGGATCCTTTTCCTCTTAATCAGCAACATTGAATACAGGTTATAGATCAGATGTCTGCCAAATGGAAGTAAACCATAACCCTGACACTGAAGCTCTTAGTCAATATGCTATTAGTCAATCTACTGAGAAGCATTTTGGAACAAAACGGATGAACTACAAAATTAACCATGATTATTTATTTTGTTTCTTTGCTTTTGCTTAATGATTAGAATGTTGGAATTGTAAGCCTTAATGTTAATTTTACAAAAAGCTTGGAGAAGTATCTCAAAGTTACTCCTCCAATTGCCATGATCAGTACACCAAGGTGTATAACAATTCCTATAAGTATATTTGAAAATTACTTATAAAACATAAGCTATGAAGTATAAGAACATAAAAAAGACTAAAGAAGTGCAATAGTCTTTTGTAGCTTGTCAGCATTACTTTAAACCGAGGAATTTGCTGTATGTGGTCACTCTTCTCTGAACTGCTTTCAGAATAGCTATATTTTTGCAACATGGTGACTAAAATGAATACCATATCCTTAATATTCTAACATCATGTTATCTAAATTTGTATAATTCATCTAAACATTTTCTTTCCTTTTCAATTGCTTTCTTAAATTGTGCTGAAAAATGTTTTTTTTGCAGCTTCTTGAAGTTCATTATCTCCCATCCTTTATTCAAGAAATATATGTCATAAGTACATTAAATTAAAGGTTAATTGTCAAAAAGGAAATTAGTCAATAGAATGCATTTTATTTCAAGCGTTTTTGCACATTTAGTTGAATGGCACTGACCACACAGACACAAGTCCCAAAATGCAATGCTGCATTTTCCTTTGCAAAGTGAAATCAATTAGCCTCTTCAGTGTTTTAGAGTATGAAACATTCTGTTAGTAATCAGGATCCTTTAAAAGACATGAAATTTGGTCCTACAGATGTTAGTTTACTAGACATGTGACTGATCCAAGAATCTTTGACCGGGAA